GTTTCATTGGCAGCGATATATGATTTCACCATCGAGAGCTGGGACGTCACGGGCGCCTTCTTGAAGGGACTACCTTTCAAGGACATGTACGAGGTCTTGCGCAAGCGCGGCATCAAGACTCCAGAGCGGCAGGTGTGCATCATTCCACCGGCCAACGTCTGGCGACATCTTAGGAACATCGACCCCAAGACGTATCACGCTCCCTCGCAGCAAGGCAGTTGGAACATGTGGGCTCTGGAGTGTCTCAAAGCAATGTATGGTCTGAACGACGCACCGTTGGCATTCCAGGTGGTCATGCAGATCTTCATGATAGAGACGCTTGGCGGCAGGCCCTCGGCTTTCGACGACTGTTTTTACTTCTGGATGGAATCCCCAGGAGAACTCAAGGCAATTGCGACCTCCTATGTTGACGACAACAACAACGCGAGCAGCAACGAGTGGCTCAACAAGTCTTACAGCAATTTCTCGGATAGATTTGGAGGAGGTACCAGACAGCAACCACCTATGAACCACGTGGGAGACAGACATGAGCAGACCGACTTCGGCATTCGAATGTCTCAGGACGAGTTCTGCCAGAACCTCCAGCCAGTTCCTCTCGGCAAGCTTCGAGCAGCTCAGGACGACTCTCCACTTACTTCCACGGAGCTCAAGGCATTTCGCGGACTCCTGGGCGGCTTGCTGCGGTTATGTCAGACACGACTGGACGCGATTGCAGATGCGGTCATTATCCAGCAGAATATGGCATCAGCAACGATCAAGCATATCAAGATGGCCAACACTCTACTAGCTCGTGTGAAGAAGTACTCGGCAAACGCGGGGCTCTACTTTCCGAAGATCTCTCCACCATTCGTGATTGACACGGTGGCAGATTCGAGTGGAGCTACCTCAGGAAGCTCTTACGCTCAAGAGGCAGTGCTTATCTTGTTGGGCTCGGACAAGCGCGTGCAGGTTGTGCCAGCGACGTCGATTCACTACCAGCAGGTGTGCGACTCCAAGTAGCAGCTCAGCAAGTTCTGCCACATCATAGCTTCGCTATCTCACAAGGCCAAAAGAGTTTCAGGCAGCACGTCACGGGCTGAGACGTTGGCAGGCGTAGTTGGCAAAGAGTTGGCACAGGTGATGGCCATGCGATTGACGGAGTTATTGGCTCCGGGCATCCAACTTCCTCTACATGAAGGCAGCGCGATGGCGCAGTTGATTCAGATCCAGGATCACGCTGAGTTCATGATACCTATCGACCACTGGACAGATTGCAGAGACTTCTTCGAGCTCACCGTCGGCCTCAAGGGCGTACCTCAAGATCGGCATCAGCGACTATACGTGCTATCAATACGAGAAGATCGGCTTCGTGGCTACATCAGGCGTTTCTTCTGGTGTCCTACCTCAGCCATGGTCGCAGACGGATTGACAAAAAGCATGAGATCGGAGATCCTCTACGATCTGTTGACCTACGGCTACTGGCGTGTGGAGACCAAGGGCATCGAGTGCCTGGTGGCAACCATCGATGCTCCAGCAGTGACGGTGACCGAGGGCGACCTGATCAACATGAAACCTTCTTGGGCAGAATCTCCATCAGTGTGCATGGCGACCAGGCTACAGGATATGGACTGAGTCACAGAGGACCGATTACGCACTCCGCATCTCTCTGAAGTTAGACGACCCAGACAGGACAGAACAGATTATGATCTTACTCTTACGGCTCATGGTTTGATGGGTAATGTTACCAGATATGGTTATATTTCAAGCAAGAAGCTGCCGTTCATCGACTATTTCAACATCGATAAGCTTTTCTTCGATTTCTTTGAGTACCCTTAGGGCAGAATGATTGCTTTGCTCGACTAGGGTCCGAGGAACGGTAGCTAGTTATGATGTTTGTTTTCTTAGCTGTGCGTGTTAATTAAGGTGATCCTTCTTACAAGCCAGAGTCATAATCCAGGTAGATTGCAGGCATGTGTTAGCAGCAGATAGAGTAGCAGACAGAAGCGATCCGTGCTATAGACGTCTTGGGTCAAGCTAACCGAAAATCGGAATGCCCCCCCCCCGTCCCCCTCGCCCCCCCCCCTGTCCACGCTTCCCAGGGTACCCCTCGCCCCCCCCCCCTGTCCACGCTTCCCAGGGTAGCCCCCCTGGGCCACGGAACCCTTTATTTTCGTCGTTCGTCGTGTCGTTCGTCGCCCTCGCCCCCCTCCCGCCCCCCTCGCCCCCCCCCCCTGTCCACGCTTCCCAGGGTACCCCTCGCCCCCCCCCTGTCCAGCTTCCCAGGGCAGCCCGCCTGGGCCACGGAACCCTCTATTTTCGTCGTTCGTCGTGTCGTTCGTCCCCCTCGCCCCCCCCCCTGTCCACGCTTCGTCGTTCGTCGTGTCGTTCGTCCCCCCCCCCCCCCCCCCCCCTGTCCACGCTTCCCAGGGTAGCCCCCCTGGGCCACTTTTATTTTCGTGTCGTGTCGTGTCGTGTCGTTCGTCCCCCTGCCCCCCCCCCTCTGCCCCCCCCCGCCCAGGCTTCCCAGGGCAGCCCCCCTGAGCCTCGGACACCTTTGTGCAAGAGCCAGGGCACGCGTGCCACTTGTTATTGTAGGGCCCTGTGAAGAGGGAACTTGAAGGGAGGGTTTATTGCAACATCGTTGACGCGTCTCGGTTTCACATCGGTCCTCCGCCTCCTCCTCCTCCTCCTCCGCCGCCGCCGCCGCCTCCTCCTCCTCCTCCTTCTCCTCCTCCTACTCCTCCTCCTCATCATCATCATCATCATCATCATCATCATCATCATCATCATCATCATCATCATCATCATCATCATCTTCATCATCATCTTCATCTTCATCTTCATCTTCATCTTCATCTTCATCTTCTCTCTCTCTCTCTCTCTTTCTCCCCCTCACCCCATACAGTTCCAGCTTCACTTTATCCTGAAGATGGCCCGGGTGGCCCGTTCCCCTCCGCGTGGTGTTGTTTTGGTTTTCACCGGGTTGCATGAGTGAGCCTGTTCCTGTCGTTCTCGTCTCGTAGCGCCGCCGGGCCCGGTTTTCAAAAAGGGGCTGCCGCTTCCGCGCGGGCCTCGTTTCTGGGATCGGCGCTCTGCTCCTGCCCTTCACGGCGGCCCTCTCTCGCCCCGGCGCGGGCCTCCTCTTCGGCGGCCCTGGCATTGCGAGCGCTCGTCGCACGGCCCGTGGCCGGACGGCCCGGCCCGCGGGCCCCCGAGGGTGGGGGGGGGCAGGGCCAAAGCGGGCGGCGGCGCCGCCGTGCGCGCCGCGGGCGCCGCGGCGCGAGGGAGGGGGCGCCGAAGGGGGAGGCGAGGCCCGCGGGGTGCGCGGGGCGGGGGCTTGATGCACAGCCGCCGCCTGGGGCAGCGATTTGCGCGGACCTCCACGGGCGGTGGACCTGGGCACCATGCCCTCCGCACAAATTCAAGGGGCCTTGGGACACACAACTGAATACACACAAATAAAAGGATCCCCCATATTTTCCCATTTTTTTTTGATTATTGTCTTCCCCCCCCCACACTCCCCATATTTTTCCATATTTTCCTGGGGATCGACGATTAATTGTGTCTGTGTGTTTTTTCCCTCCTGACAAATGCGGATAGGAGTCAGGGGTTGCTGTGGTCTCGGTGCGATGCGCCGTGAACTGCACAGTGAAGGAGCCCGCCGCAGGCGCCGATGTTCGAATGTTGGGCACGCATTTCTGCGTAGCCATGACCGGCGCCGCCAGTGGGATACCGCGTGAGCGGAAACCCGTCAGTCTGAAATTCAGAAGCGAAAGAAGACGTACACGTACATGAATCCGCGCTGGTTTCGAGACTACGCATTACGCGAACATTCGTACCACGCCGCCGGTCCCGCGGATCGGGGGGCCGTGTTCATGTACATGGTCGGGTGCGTACGTCTTTTTTGTGGATTCCCTATATATTCAGGCCCCTGTGGGCCAAAACATGTCCACATCCACCGCCCGCTGGGTCCCCAGGACGTCGGTTCCCAGGCGGCGGACGTGGAAAAGTCCCCGCCTCGCGGTGGGGCACGCACTTGGGCGAGTGCGGGGCCCAAGAAGCATGATCTGTTCGTGGCGTGGGCCCTTGGAAGTCTCGCCCCCTCCCCTGGACCCGTTTTGCACCACGAGCCGTTTTTCGTTTTTGTTCGACGGTCCTGGGCCCCAGCGAGGAGTCCCAGACTTAGTGGGCCCTGGAAACGACAGGGCAGTTTTTTTACCGGTTTCGTTTTGCCGTTTATTTGCCGGTTCTGACGCCGTTTTTTTACCGGTTCCGTCGCCGTTTTTGTTGACCGGTTCTGGCTCCTGTTCCGATCCTGGAGCCGTTTTTTGCCGTTTCCGGTCGCCGTTTTTTTTTGCCGTTTCCATTTTCAATGGGCATTTTTTTGGAAACGGTGAAAAGACGGCCTTGCCGATTCCGGGGCCAGGTCCCAGAGCTCGAAAATTATGACAATCTCTCGTGTTGCTTTTTCACGCGAGGGGCGTGAGGAGGGCGCGGGGAGGGCGGGGAGGGGCCGCAGGAGCTGCTCGGGCGGAGCTGCAGGACCAGGCTGACTCGTGCCAGAGCGTTCTGGCACGCTCCCAGAGCCTCCGGGAATGGCCAATGGCCGCGGCGCTCGACACATCCTGGAGAACCGCCAGACCTCAGAGATCCGCGTTTTGCCCCGGCCCAGTGTTGTGCCTGCCCGGGCCCCGTCCTCTATAGCAGGACCACCGGTGCTCCTGCGGATCTTGCGGCCGCGGCATGCAGGGTGGGCGGGTCGGGAGGTCTGTTCTGGGAGCGCCTGGGTGCCCCAACCTGTCGGGTGGGGAGAGCCTCGCGCCGTGTTTTTTGGCTCACTCTCTTCCTCCCCCATCTCTAGTTAATTCAAGCTTCGCGCGGCCCGCTCAGCTTCGACTGGAAGAGGTGCGCTCTCGATCCGCGAATCAAAACAAAAACACGTTTTTGGGCTCACGCGAGGGGGCCTGGGGGGCCGAGGCCGGGAGGGGCGCCCTGCAGGGGCCGCCAGGGGGGCGGGGGAGGCCGACGAGGCCATGCTGGACACCGCGCTGCAGAGGCAGGCGGAGGTCACCGACCTCCTCCACGCCCCGCAGGGGGCCCGACAGGACCGGCGGGGCGCGGCCCGCCAGGTCGCCCGCGGCGAGGGGGGCGCCTGCACAGGTCGGCTCGTGCGCGCGAGAGTGGCCCCTGGGCCATGGCCACCCCGTCGCGTGGTGAGCAAACTTTGTTTTGATTCGCGGGTCGAGAGCGCACCTCTTCCAGTCGAAGTTGAGCGGGCCGCGCGAAGCTTGAATTAACTAGAGATGGGGGAGGAACAGGGGGTCGCAGCCTCAGAACGAGGCCGGGAGGAGGCAAAGCCTCGGGATCAGGCGGGCGTCGTGAGCAAACACGACGGAGCGTGCTTTCGGCAATTTTCGGGCTCTTGGAGGGGGGCAGTCAGACAGCAACGCGGGATGAAGAACCGGTCCAGCGGAACGGGTCGAGTCTTCTGGGGGTCCACAGCACGCCAAAGTACTGACATCGGTGGTCTGGGTGCACAGGTCGGCTTGCTCGCGCGAGCGTGGCCCACCATGGAGAGCGACCTGGCGATCGAGAAGCCTCCCGCCCTCCCAGGTTGGACGATCTGCGCTGTGTCCCCAGACCCCCAACGTCATGATTTTTTCATGACGCGGCCCCCAGAGGTCCGGACCCCTTCCCTGGGACCGGTTTTTCATCCCGAGTCGTTTTTTGACGGTCCCGAGGCCCGGTAAGGGCCCCCGGGGGCCGAAAATGTAGAAAAACCTCCCGTCGTGATTTTTTCGCGACCCGAGGGGGTCTGGGTCAGAGGCCCACGCTCGGGCCGCCGTGACACGAGTGTGCCTACAAGGCCGCGGGGTGCTGACGGGTGCCGTCCGCAGCCCCTCTTGCTCGAGTCTGGGGCGGCTGCGGCGGAGCCGCGGCCCCTGGCGCTCCCCTGCCCGGGCGCCCGCGGCCACGAGAGAGCGTCCTCTCTCCTCGGGGGCGGGAAGAGGGGGGTGATGGATGCCTGGGGGGGGGGGGGTATCATGGCGGGGGCCATGATATTTCCGCAGATTTCATGGCGCCTCTGCTTGTTTCATTACGTCCCTGGCCCCCCCGCTGGGCCGCGCACGTGCCGCCGGTCATGATTTGCACCCCCCCCCCTCTCTTGGACACCCCTCTCTTGGCCGCTCCCGATCTCCGGGGGTGGGCGGGGCGGCCGGCGGGGCTGGGACGGGGACGAGTCTCTCCAGATCGACTACACACTACACGTAAGAGTGACCCTTCGCCGGAGCGACCTTTGGTGCGGGCTCCTCGGGCTCCCCCCGATCGCCGAGCGCGATGCGATTCAAGCGGCCCGCGCCCTTGGGTTTGGCTCCCTCGCGCCCCCAAAAGCTGCGCACCAAAGGTCACTCCTACCGGGTCACTCTTACGCCCAGCCGACTAGAGCGTCCTTCCACAGGGTGGCAATGGGGAGTGGCCTAAAGGGGGGGGGCGAAGGGCCCTGACCTTCCAGAGTGCTAAGAATTAGCCCTCCAGACCTACAGACCTATCTGGGCTGCCTGAAACCTCGACAGGAATTCAGATATCGAGGTCCTGGTGTTAATTTTTAAGCCCTACTGGAAGGTCAGGGGGAGAGGGCCCCAGAGGGGCCCTCTCTGGTCCACCTGGGAGCTGGCAGGTGCCCGGAAGAGGCCCTCAAAGGGCTCCTCTGGGGGCCGCTTTCCCCCTGACCTTCCAGAGTGCTAGAAAATAGCCCCCAGCCCCGTAGACCTATCTGGACTGCCTAAAACCTCGGCGGGAATTTTTGTGTCGAGGCCCTGGTGCTATTTTTAAGCCCTCCCAGAAGGTCAGGGTCGTCGCCCCCCACTGGGGTCACCCGCCGTGGACGCCCGCTCGAGCCCTGGAGTGCTCTCTCAGAGCGTCCTGGAGCGCTCCCGAACTGCCGCGGCGCCCGACGCCACCCCCCAGAGCCGCCAGATTCCGCGGAGGTCCCCGAGCTGAGCCCCAGCCCGACGTGGTCCGAGGCCTGGCCTCGCCCCCCTGGGGCGCGGCCAGGGAGTCGGCGACCATACACTCGGCACCGTGGTGGCCTGCGGAGCACGACGCCGCCCTCGTCGGGTCTCTTCGGAGCGCGACGGAGAGCTCCATCGCGAGGTCCCCGCCCGCCCCCCGGGGTGCCCCTGAGGGTGCCGCTTGCAGGCCGCGCCCCGTGTGTAAAGCCATACCCTCACCGCCTGTACTCTGAGCCCTCCGGCCGCCTGAGGCCCTGCCCGCCCGCGCCCTGTCTCCCCAGTTAGGGCTACTCGCGTCCCGTTTAGCTCTCGACCGGAAGGGGCCCGCTCCCGACCCGCAGACCAAAAAAGTACAGTCGGGGCCCTGAAGAAGGAACCCTTTTCGTTGGGGAGGGGCTCCGCGTTCCTTAAGTGTTTCACAGCTTGCCTCAGGTTTCCTTCTAGGTTTTCGACGGGACATCGAAGGTTCACTTATGGAAAAAAGGGGCCTCGTTCCTTATTTAGGGTTCCTTAGGCCAACGCCCCGACTGTAAGCCACACCCTCCGGAGCCGCCGACGGCGGGGCCCCACTGCTGGCGGGAGGCGGGATCCCGAGCGGGCCGCAGCGGGGGCCCTGAACGTTGGGCTCCCCCGGCCCGCGCAGCCTCCCGCGCGCGGGGGGGCGTCCGGCGGCTCCCGCACCGGGCCCGGCTGGGCGAATGCGGGGCCCAATCCGGAGCCTTGAGACGGGGGTCAATGCAAACCCAGACCCCCTCGGGTCGCGAAAAAACACCGACGAGAGGTTTTTCTACATTTTCGGCCCCTGGGGGCCCTTACCGGGCCTCGGGACCGTCAAAAAACGACTCGGGATGAAAAACCGGTCCCAGGGAAGGGGTCTGGACTTTTGGGGGCCGCGTCATGAAAAAATCATGACGTCGGGGGTCTGGGAACGGGGGTCAGCCAGAGCGCCCGATCTTGCAGGATCCTGCAGGGCCGGGGTCGCATTGGCCCGGGTTTGGGTGCAGGATCCGGCAGGATCCTGCAGGATCCTTCGCATTGACCCGGGTTTGGGTGCAGGATCTTGCAGGAGCTTGCAGGATCCTGCAGGCCTGACTGACCCCGGTCTGGATTGACCCGGGTCAGAAGATCCCCGACCCAAAGGACATGACCGCCCCTGCCCGAAGCCCGAGGTCCCGGCGTGGCGATGTCTGTTCGCAGCGGGCGTGTCCTCTCGATTTCGGGCCCTGGGGCCAGCACAGATCGATCCGGCTAGAAGGATGGCGCACAAAGGTGGGGTCCGGGGCTCCGGTCGTGATCTTTTGCGATGTTGTATTTCCCAACCATCCTGTGGTGTTGGGTCCTCGTTTTGAAGAGACGGTGCCCCGCGTCTCCTTCCTCCTCTCCTCCTCCTCCGCCTCCTCTCCTCTCCTCTCCTCTCCTCCTCTCCTCCCCTCCTCTCCTCCTCTCCTCTTCACCCACCCAGTACACCGTTTCGTGGCTCCATAGGGAGCTCCACCGAAGGCCCCAGTGCCCGCGCCCGCATGCGTCAGCCACACCCATTTCGGCACACCCCTCACACGTTTCGTGGCTCCATAGGGAGCTCCACCGAAGGCCCCAGTGCCCGCGCCCGCATGCGTCACCCACACCCATTTCGGCACACCCCTCACACGTTTCGTGGCTCCATAGGGAGCTCCACCGAAGGCCCCAGTGCCCGCGCCCGCATGCGTCACCCACACCCATTTCGGCACACCCCTCACACGTTTCGTGGCTCCATAGGGAGCTCCACCGAAGGCCCCAGTGCCCGCGCCCGCATGCGTCACCCACACCCATTTCGGCACACCCCTCACACGTTTCGTGGCTCCATAGGGAGCTCCACCGAAGGCCCCAGTGCCCGCGCCCGCATGCGTCACCCACCCATTCGGCACACCCCTCACACGTTTCGTGGCTCCATAGGAGCTCCGCCGAAGGCCCCAGTGCCCGCGCCCGCATGCGTCACCACACCCATTTCGGCACACCCCTCACACGTTTCGTGGCTCCATAGGGAGCTCCACCGAAGGCCCCAGTGCCCGCGCCCGCATGCGTCACCCACACCCATTTCGGCACACCCCTCACACGTTTCGTGGCTCCATAGGGAGCTCCACCGAAGGCCCCAGTGCCCGCGCCCGCATGCGTCACCCACACCCATTTCGGCACACCCCTCACACGTTTCGTGGCTCCATAGGGAGCTCCACCGAAGGCCCCAGTGCCCGCGCCCGCATGCGTCACCCACACCCATTTCGGCACACCCCTCACACGTTTCGTGGCTCCATAGGGAGCTCCACCGAAGGCCCCAGCGCCCGCGCCCGCATGCGTCACCCACACCCATTTCGGCACACCCCTCACACGTTTCGTGGCTCCATAGGGAGCTCCACCGAAGGCCCCAGTGCCCGCGCCCGCATGCGTCACCCACACCCATTTCGGCACACCCCTCACACGTTTCGTGGCTCCATAGGGAGCTCCACCGAAGGCCCCAGTGCCCGCGCCCGCATGCGTCACCCACACCCATTTCGGCACACCCCTCACACGTTTCGTGGCCCCATAGGGAGCTCCACCGAAGGCCCCAGTGGCGGCGCTCACATGCGCATGCGTCCCGCACACCCATTTCGGCACATCCCTGACAGGTTTCGTGGCCCCATCATCCACTGGAGGCCCCAGTGGCGGCGCTCACATGCGTCACCCACACCCACCCAATTCGGCACACCCCTCACACGTTTCGTGGCCCCATAGGGAGCTCCACCGAAGGCCCCAGCGGCCGCGCTCACATGCGTCCCCGCCACCCATCCCGGCACGCCCCTCACAACAACAGGTTTCGTGGCCCCATGGGGAGCTCCACCGAAGGCCCCAGTGCTGCCGCCCGCATGCGTCACCACCCGCACCCAATTCGGCACACCCCTCACACGTTTCGTGGCCCCATAGAGAGCTGCACCGAAGGCCCCAGTGGCGGCGCTCACATGCGTCCCCGCCACACATCCCAGTACACCCCTCACGCGCTTCGTGGCCCCATAGGGAGCTCCACCGAAGGCCCCAGTAGCGGCGCTTACATGCGTCTCCGCCACCCATCCCGGCCCCCCCCCCCGCAGCA